TTGTAAATTAATTTTGTGTTTAAAAACATATCTTATTTATAAATTATAATTGTTATTCGTTTTAAGTAAATACAAAATTAAATGTGTAATGATGTGCTCTCTCTCTCTCTCACTCTCTCTCACTCTCTCACTTTCTCTCTTACTTTGCCAACCGTTGCCATAGTGTTTGACAAATACCCTGCGCTGACATGAGTAGTGCTAATTCTTGGGTCAGCTCTACTCGCATACAAACTCGTAAAATCGATGACAGGATTGTTGTTGTTTAACACTCGTTCAGACAAGTCCTGTGCCCTCACTCTGTCGACCACACCGTCGGCCATAATGAGCGACACGATCTCCGACAACCACGTGTTGCCCGACTTGGGATACCCGCACAGCCATACGTCTGCCGGACGGATAGTCAGGTGCCGTAGATTACGGATACTACTAATGATCGTTCCCGCGTCCCTATAAAACATGTCCTCCGCGTACTCTAGTGTGCGATGAGTGACGGCTGACACGTATCGATATCGGCGATCATGTTTCTCATTACTCACCATGGTGGTTTTGTTTGCCAACAACGCAGCCTATTATTTAAATAAAATATACATATTTGTTATAATTTGTTTGTGATTTTAAACATATTTTCAACAATTATTTGATTTTATATAATAGTATTTTTGCTTGGATTTTTTTTAATTAGATGAAAATAATGTAACCACATACAATGTGTTCAATTAATTTGGGAAACCCATCGATACCATCAAACCTCTTGATGTCTGTCAACTTGTCTAACAAATCTCCATCATGAATACCGGGGATATTGATGCCAACGCGTAGGCCTTCCCGTACCTCAATCTCTGTAATAAATGACACAAATTAAAAATGTTTTACAAAATCAATGACAATGTTATTTATGTACGGCTGGTCTCTCATTGTTTCCTATAAAACTCCATAGTTTTATGTTAACGATGATTAAAATGTGGTGATTTATCATATTTCTTACTAACTATAATTAAAGTTTTAAAGTATAAAAGATTATTCTACAATATGTGACAAGTAAATAGTATTTAATTTAATTCTGAATTTCGAATGCTGACAAATTAGGCCTTAAATTATACAACACTTATTCATTTTCACGCATTTTATATAATTATGCTTATACCTACTTTACATGCACACATGTATATTCACTTGATATCAGTATATATTTTGGATTAGTTAAAATAAAAATTATATAAACTTATTGATCTCATGGGAAAATAGCATAATCACACTGCTTACCAAAGCAAACGGGTTGAGTGCATTTTTCGTCGTCTGTGGGCGACAATGGGTAAAATGTGTTGACCACAATCCAGGGCACGCCTGACCGCGCGATTGATGGCAGGTCTAGCCGCGAGTTGACTACTATAACGTCCGGCCGGATGTCAATGAGAGCCTGCGCTACAATTGGGTTCAATTTGTGGTCCAATTTGCGGTCCCTTTGGGTCAACACCTGCTGCACACCCGTTGACAGTCCCGCCCCGTAATCGCTGTTTGTTTCAGTGTCCGGCTCTTCGCTCTCACCGTCGCTGATGTCGGTTACGATCCAATTGATTGTCGGGTGCTTTTCGTGCAGTTTGTCCCGCAGTTTATAGTGCGTAAAAATGACCGCCCGATGCCCGCCGTCGACAGCGCCCACCAAAGTCTCGCCCATAGCTATGGCCGACTCAACCATCTCAATGTCAGCCCATGTTATGAATAGTACCGTTAATTTATTTGGTAACATTCTTTTATTATTGACAAATCAGTTTAACAATATATAATTAACTTTATAAATGATTATTGTTGGTATTATTGTTAATAACACAAATAAAATAAAACAACCGTAAATGTTCACGTTTATAATAAAAATGCTACTACAGTATTAAAAGTCTAAAAAACATATTATGCAGTCATTTTAAATAATATTCACTATATTTTCGCTGAATTATGTTACCATGCATATATTGTACTATCATGCTGTTTATTATTGTGAAACACGGATTGTGCTATGACATGGTCGTATTTATTAAGCATATACAGGGTGTACTTGGGTTACTGCCCGATCATTGGTTGTCACAAACAATATGTTTTTCTCGTTATCTTTATTTAAATTACATTAAATCTACATTAAATTATTTGATTTTGATTTTCAAATCATCGCTTATAAATGTAAATGTTTCCGTTTCTAGAACTTATTATTATACAGTAAAATCAATTGTGAATTAAGGGCATGTGAAATACATTATAAAAAAACATAAACATTAGCACATTTGATGTGGAAATTTTTTAAAAATTATTTAATTATTTTAACAATAATTGTAAATTTTATGTTCTCATTGAAAATATTATTTGATAAACAACTGATTTTATTTTGATAATTAGTAATCATTTTTATTAATGAAATTACAAAACATCCTAATTTATATGCATTGTAATATTTGTTGTACCTATGATTAAATAACACATTAAATTTTGAATAATATTTATGCATTATGCAGTACTAATACCCAATAGACACACTTTTAATTAGGTAGATGCCTACTATATAACCCCATTGTCACACACATAACGCATAATTTGTGCTCTAGGTTAAAACACCACTAAACTACTGGTTCTGCTACATTCTATTTCTGTTTACTTTATTGTGTAATTATAAATAAATTATTATTTTAATTAAAGAAGTGGACATCAGTCGAGTCGCACGACACATCATTCAGGTAGAGTTGACAATGTTTGAATCTCATAGTCACCTACAATGTTTTATAATTTGTCTGTTTTTACAAATAAATACAAAGTTAAATTAATAACAAAATTTTATTTATAATAGCGCAAATTTACATGATTTAACTTTGCATGAAAAGGCGCGTATTAGAGGCGATATAAAATATATTCAAAATTTATATTGCACAATCACCATGTTTACACTTATTATTTTTAACATTGTTTTTATTAATTAATTATTTAAGCATTTAACAAATAAGAATTATAAACTTAGGTTTAAACAAAATTGTACTCGAAGTGAAGGAGTAATATTATATATTACTAATATCATATTTACATTTAAGGGGATTGCATTTCAAAAGTACACAACGTTACACACAAAATCACAACCGTTACACAACTAGGGGGTGGGAGGTGAAAACTATAAACGAGAATAGAAAACAAGCGTAGGTAACGTGGTTGACGGGTTGTACTCGTTAATATTACAAGTGACAAACACCACAATAGTTTATTATAAAACAAATATTTATATGTGAATGAATATAAACGTATATAATATAATACATTAATTGAGTCAATTTTAATTTTATCAATATCTTAAAATATAGGTATAATTTATAAATATTTTATAAATATTATTTAGAATAAATATGAGTAACGATAGGATTCTGCGCTCCAAAATACAATTATCACAAAATAAATGTAAAACTCTTGGTGAGTATTTTTGGGCAAGATTGAATCAACTCGATGACGATCAAATCTGCGTGGTAAGTTTTAACAACTCACACACAGCAATGCTGTACGTTAACCACAATTCGGGTATTACTCAAAGAATAGATTAACATTATCGACAGATTTAATATTAGTTATATAACATTGCCCATAGACCTAGCATTGCCATTAGAATTATCATTGTCCATAGATTTAAATTAGTTAATAGAAATAGCATTTGTTCCATAGATTTAACACTGTCCATACTAATAGCATTAGTATCCAGATAACATAAGTTTAACATTGTCAATAAGATTAGAATTAGTCCAATAAGATACCATAATTCATGTTATACCTATGTCATAGACCTAATATTTGTCCCATAGTAGTAAGATTATCCTAAATATCCTAATAAACCTAAAGATCCTATAAAACACATTATTTAAAGCCGAACTATAATTAAAAATATTCTAAAATTAATTAAAAAATTATTTATATTTCCATTTGTAACTATAGACTGAGGCTACAAGTGGTCTGACTTTGACCATCGGTCAACTCAAACACCAGGCAAACAGTATAGCCATGGCTTTGATCGGTCGGGGAGTGACTAAAGAGGATGTAATCGCGTTTTGCGGCCAAAATTCGATACAACACTTGGTGTTGAGATTTATGACCGCATTTCTAGGCCTAACGTTCGTACCGTTGAGTCCGGGGTTTGGAAAGTATGAGCTGAAGCACATGTGTGAGTCGACCGGCGCCACGATTGTCATGAGCTCAGCGCAAGACTTTCATAAATTTGACTGGCTTTTGGACGATCGTGGTAACTTGGCCAGCGCCGTGGTCATTAAGCACGTGGTGATTTTTGATGGCAAACACGACACTCACGTCACGTTTGACACGTTGTTGGCTGAGGGGGGCGTCGGTCGCACATTAAGCCGATACCCGCACTTTGTCGTACACCCGGACACCGATATGTGTTTTCTAATACATACGTCGGGCACCACTGGGCCCTTGAAGTGCGCAATGATACCGCACCGGGCGGTCATCTCGGCCTGTGGTGAAACGCGTTTATTCAATTATGATCGCATCGATGGTCAGGTGGTGTGCGCAACAGTGCACCCTTTCGGACACATTAGTGGTACTTATCTGATACCAATGCAAGTGCTAAATGGTGTTCATTGCATACTGTTTGCCGAATTGACTGAACAGAGTCTTATGCGAGGCATTGAAAAGTATAACATCAATGTTTTGGCTGTGTTTCCAGAGATGGCTCGCAAACTGATCGATGGCGATTTGGTTGGCAAATATGATATGAGTAGCCTGAAATGTATTAACACGGGTGGCGCCGGTGTTCCCGGCAATATTGCCAAAGAGATTATTAAAAAGTATGGCATTTGGTTTAAAGAAGGTATATATACATATACATATCTGTGATAAACATGAGCTAGTTTAGTCATAAATAATCATATTATACATTATATTTAATAGGTTACGGAATGACCGAGCTCACGTGGGTGACAGACGGGTCTGATCTCAATGACGAGTTTATACCGGGAAATACTGGTAATGTGTCGCCGGGTTGCGAAGTAAAGGTGATTGACTTAAACACCGGTGAAAGTGTTGGGCCCAACCAAGATGGTGAGATATGTGTGCGTGGTGAGAAACTATTCGCTGGTTATCTTAATAATGAAATGGCAACGAAAGCGGCCATTAATAGGGACGGGTGGTATCGGACGGGCGATATCGGGCGCTACGACGATAGGGAGCGTATATTCATCACCGATAGACTCAAAGATGTGTTTCACGTAGTCGTTAACAACCACTATATGAACGTATCTCCCGTTGAGATCGAGCAACACTTACTGACCCACCCGTCCATCGCTGAAGTGGCTGTTGTGGGCGTGAATAACAAAGCGGGCACTCAATGGCCCCGGGCTTATGTAGTTCTCAAAGCTAATGTGTCTAATATTACGGGCACACAAATTGATGAATATGTTTCAGGTACATTTTTACCAACAATTGTTGCTACAATAGTTAGTATCATTGTTATTATAATGTCATTTAATGGCAGACACTTTGGCCGACTATAAGCGACTGAAGGCAGGCGTTGTGTTCATCGATGCCATCAAACGAACTGAAAGCGAAAAAGTCGACCGAAAATACTACCGGTCTTTGGTTAAGGACGAAGTGCTTGACTATTAGTACACTTTTAATTTTATTGTGACTTTACAAACAAAAGTAAACAAACAAACATAAGTCAATGTTTTGTAAACGCAAAACATTAGTACTTTATAACTTGATAAATTTAATACTGTAAATTATTATTTGATTTTTATATGAAACTAAATAGTATTACACAATAAAAACAAAATTTAAAAATACATTTATATTCTAAGTGCTTAATAAATATTTCGTAAGTTTTAGTAAAATGTTTGTTATGCTACTATTACTTAATAACAGAATAGAAATAAGTATAATCAATTAAAAAATAAAATTACTAACTTTTGTTTATTTTAATACTAAATAATTATTATGTTAAATTATTATTTATAATCAAAAAAGTAGAATGTAATTAAATAATTAGAAGTAATGTATAAATTAAATAATTAGCTAAACAACATACATGATGATCAGTTCAGACATGTAGATAAGATTATATGCCAATTGAAAGCAACAAAAATCATAAATCAATTGCTATTCAAAAACATACGACACGCTAAGACACAGACACTCTCTAACCGGTCACACCTATACCCTAAACAGTGGGCGTATAGGCATTGGTCGACCAGAAAGTGTGTGATCACGCGATACCTTATCTCCATCTGAATGTATAGGTATTTGTTTTCAAGCCATGAGTTCAGGTATGAGACACTGATTATGGTGTGTCCAACAGTTAACCATAATGGTCCAATCGCGAGCTGGGTAGTTTTATGATGGTAGGGTTGGTGGCCATACAGTTTGTGGGATAGCTCTTTTTCGCACATAATTCTGGTGCCACACCCTCTCGATTGACCATATTATGATCAAAACCCAATATTAGGTGGGTTATGTACCGGGCATTATGGTAATCACCCCAACTGTAAACCCATCTGGCTTGAAATCACCATGATGATTATTAATATTGTCGCTGAACAGCATCGCTGCCGTGAGCCTGATTGCCATTAATACCATGTCAGTGGTCATATTAAAACATGGTTAATACAATTTACTTGTGTATCATTTACTGTATACAAAACCACTTGTATTAAGTTATAGTGAAATAATTATAATGTTTTATAAGAATGTAATTTCTAACATATTCACTGTTTGGTATACGTGTTATATATTGATAATTACCAAGGTACCAATTACCGAGATAACACAATATATCTAACCGGTTATTTATTTGTTGATCTTATTTACACAACTATTTCATTTATAATTATAATCAAACATTTTATTTAATGTAAAGTTAGTTATTAAATTCTAACAAGTATTTATAATGAGTCATTAATAACATTGTTTTTATTTAATTATTTTTAGTAAATTATAATTGTAAATTAATTTTGTGTTTAAAAACATATCTTATTTATAAATTATAATTGTTATTCGTTTTAAGTAAATACAATATTAAATGTGTAATGATGTGCTCTCTCTCTCTCCCTCTCTCTTACTCTCTCTCTCTCTCTCTCTCTCACTCAAAAATATAATCATTTTTCTATTTCAATAGGGGTTCATAACTAAAGTTATCTTACAGTTAATGATTAAAATAAACACAAAAATATTTTCCCATCAATTATCTCAAGTGTGTATTAAATTATTATACATGCGTTCATTGAAAGTATTATTAAGATACTATTATTGTCGTTGTTATTATTTGTAATAGATTATTTATAAAATTAATTAAATAACTCGACCATGGTGCATTTTAAAGTGATTATGGTGCATTCACGAAGTGGTCTTTTCCAGTTCCTGTTGCTCCGTAAGCATAATACTGCTCTTTGGTACCAATTTATTCATGGTCCTTCTCACATGTGTGTGTACCTGGTGGTTGGCAACATTAATTATTAAGCATACTACTTAAAAATAATCATAATTCAATACTACATTAATTGTTTTACTTTACTTAATCATATAATCATAGAATTAAATAATAACTTTGCATGATGTAAAATATGATAATTATTTATCACGTTATGTTTGAGTGGTACAAAAAATATACCTATTCAAATTGCTATAGTGTTGGCTATATACAGTTAATCAGGGTTAAATTAAAAATAAATCTATACACATACCTCGCCATTTAGAAAACAGAATATCGTGGTAACAATGGCTCCCTGTATGGCCTCAATCACAATTTGGATATATTTGATGACAAACACGCCGGTAGTGCACGAGTCAAATGGATCAAAATCAACGATGTAAAATGTATACTGTATGCCAAACACTGGTAACAGTATCAGTGAGGCCCTCAGACCGGCCCTGAAATGATCGGGTGACGAACGAAGCTTGGTCATCAGCACTCGCACTACGTTGAATAGTAGCAGGGCGTTTAGCTAATCAAAAATAGATATTATGTATATATAAATTAATTTTATATTTTAAAAATATTTTGATTTTGATGTTATTTATATTTAATATGTAATATACACTATATACATGTAATATACATGTATGTAGCTCTTAATTTTTGTTTTGGTTAGGTAGAGCAACAAGATGACTTTTGTTTATTAAAAAATTCCCAGTAAAATAATACTACCGATTGAGGTAAATTAAAAATATTTGATATAATATTGCAAAATATTAAACTCGTACATAAGTTACTCTCGCTGTCACGATTTTCAAAAATATAACTCTTTAAAAATATTTAAATAGATAAATTGATGTCAATTATAAATTTACAGTTGGTAAACAACAAAACAATCTAGCTATTAAAGTAATCTACGTGGTAATAACAGAACATTTTAACCATAAAATATATTACACTAGATAATTAAACAAGCAAACACACATACCAACGTAGCAGCATTAAAATCAAACTTACCACGATGCACGTAATGGGCAAAATGTCGTAGATCAATTCGGGATAGAGCATGGGTTTGGTCCAACAATTGGTGTCGTACTCGTCCAGAGCGTGCACTATAACGTAGGGCACCATCACCAGCAGTGGTGCGCCCCAACCAAACAGGTAATAATACAGGGGGTGTCTCTCCTCGGCGAAACTGAGCACGATGCGCCGGTGCAGGTACGCCGCCTCGTTTAGCATCCAGCAGAAATTGCTTATGTGCGAAAACTTGTAGAATATGACCAGGGCGCGGCACCATTTTGGGCTAGGTAATATGCAACAATTTTTAAATACTAGTCTAATTTAATGTGATAGAAATAAGTTATTAACTAAGATAGGGCTTTTCACCCGCAACCTTATGAGTTATAGGCTATGACAGTTGTAACATGTAATAATGTGTATGGCTACAAAACTATAGCCCATTAATATAAATTATATTTTCTAGCTTATAAAAATAATTATAATTGGAAGTGTAACCATGAACATAATAGTTTAAATACGGTATAATTTATATGAAGCATTTTTACAAACATAAAATACATATCAATAACTCACTTGTGTTGTATAACTTCCGAGCGACTGAAATGTGCCTCACGGAGCAGATAATTGAACATGATGGAAAACACACAGGTCAAAATAATCGAGCCAATAAAATTCATATGAATCTGAACGCGCAGAATTTTATGTTGCTCATAAAACACAAACACGGCCACGCCGGCGCAACAAAGCACCAGGGACAATATGAAAACATACGTGGACACTCTAGCCTGACGCAACTCTTCATGCGCCTTTGGATACGTGCAATACTCGTAAAAAGTGTCATCATCGGGGTAGTAACCATGCTCGGGGTGTTCGTACACTTTTTCCACCCACTTGGTGGCCCAGGTGCCGTTGGCCAGGCACTTTTTCGTGGCACTCTCTTTGGCGCACGTGGTGGGCTCGTAGCCCAGGGCCGCGTGCGACATAGCCGGACACTTTTGTTCGTGCGTCGAGTCGGCTGCGGCCGAGTCCCAGCACATCCATCCGTCCCATTTGGTCGGACATGTGTTGGGCCGTCCGTAGTGTCCGATAGCGTTGTCCTCTTCGTCGTCGTCCTCTTCTTCGGCTATTTTTATTTGTCTTTCGCAACACTTTTTCGCGTCTTTGCAACAGTCCATGAATGTGTTCTGACAGATAGTAATGATCATGGTTAGATTGTTATTTTTTAATCTAATATAGCATGTTGTTGTGTATTTTGTTTGATTGAGTTAATTTTTTAAAACAGACTTTGTATAAACTTCACAATGTATTAGTACTTTATTAGACTGTATTAGTAAACATAGCTTTTTATTGTTGCTGTACGTAATTGTTAGGCTTCTACTAAAAGGCCTTTCACTTTCTGCCCTTCACTTTTTTATGCAGTGTTTGCATTTTATGCGGTGTTTGATGCGCCCAAATGCCGGCAAAGCAAATGAAGGGCGAGAAGGGCGACATATTTTTCCGTCAATTTTGACATTT